TTTTTTTTTTTTTTTTTTTTTTTTTTTTTGCTTCCATTGTTGTTATTTTAAATTTTAAAGAAAAATATAAAGTGCTGCTTTCCAGGTCTTGTAACAGTACTTCTCGTAATCAAGCGAATGAAGTATTGCTTGGTAACTTAACCTTCATTTCCTGATGGTTTTGTTTTGTTTGTTTCTTGTATTTCAGGGGATTGAGAACAAGTTTCCTCTGAAAAATGTGGCCCTAATGTCTCAATCTGCACACATGAACACAACGTTTTTCATAGCTTTGGAAGCTTTAGGCCGTGTCAGACTAGCATGTCATCTGCCATCCTGGCTCTGGCATTTCAAAGGAAAATGCAAGAACTCCTATAATGGGTGAATATGAAATAACACTGAAGAAGCAGCTTTTTGTTTTAAACCTCCTGTAATTAAAGATCAGGGTGTATGTTTGATCATTAAGACCCTGCATCTTTTTCAGAATGCTCGTGTTGTTAATCTCATCCAAAATGCTGTGTGATGATCCTTATAAATGTCCAGTCTTTCCTGAAATTCACACTGATCATCTGTCATCAGCTACTTATGCTTATTGTAATTTTTTTTTTTTTTTTGACTTCCCAGTTTCATTGAATGCATTTATTTGTTTCAATTATGGAAGTGAGTAAATAGAAATAATTTCACTTCTCCATTTATTTTCTGTGTTAAAGACTTATCCTTTCTCAGCTAGGCTTTTTTTTTTTTTTTTTTTTTTAACTCTATTTTCCATCTGACTCCCTCTGTATTTCCATGCTTTTCAGAGTCCTATCTTGTTTTATTACGTTGTAGTTGGGTAGGACAATCAGAAAACAATATTCCAAGTGAAGGCCTAATCTTAATACATGCAGTTGCAACAGAATATTTTATTATATGCAGTATTCCTTATGCACACTTCTGTCTTTTTATTGGATCTGCTTGTGCAATAATCTGCAGAAGCACCGTCAGACTCTCTGAATGGCTGGATAATTATCCCAAGCCAACAGCTGTATACTTTGGGTCATTCCATGTCAGCTCACAGGACATCACATTGCCACAGAGTTCCACAGAGAGCTGCAGTGCCACCCCATCCAAGAGTTACAGTGACTCCAGCACCCAGTAAAAACATCTGGATTTCATTACGAGTCGTCATGCTTCCCTTTGGTGCTTGCTTTCTTTTCTTCATCTACAATAAATGCTTTATACAAATCTTTCAATCCTTGACTTTTCTCCATGCTGAGAATTACACTTCAGTCTTGGATATTTGTATCATGGTTGGTTATGATGCTACACCTCGTCTGACACCACTTAGCTCGCACTATGGAGTCTTTTTCATTGTGCATTGGGGACTTACCTCAATTTTCAAAGGTTTTATAATACATTCCATAAAATTATATATTGTGTATTTTTAAATTTAAATAATGCGACAGCTCTTCTTTAATTTCCATCTTTAAATAGTTTGAGACTACACAGAAAAACCAGTGTCTCAGTGTTTTGCAAATCTTTCAAACTGTTTTATAATGGCTGTTTTTCCAGCATCCTCATTTGTAACTTTCCTAAGTGATTTTTCTTATACTCGTAATTATCTGGATTGTCCCTCAGGAATTTATTTTGCACCAGGTTCAGGAATAGTGCTGTTGAGACCTAGCCACCAGAAAAGACAATGGAAATTCAGCCTGTTAGGGCTCCAGAGACTGATTGTGATGTAGTCTTTCTATTCCTGAACCCTAAAATTGTTGAAATGAAAAGTCTCCGTCTTTTATTCTCAACTTGAAGAATTATAATTAGAATAAATGTTCATCACAGTTTTCACAAACTACACTTACATCTGTGAAGATAATTCCCCACACCAGTGTCAAAATAACATCCTTGCAGAACGGACAAATGCGCCGTGGCTTACGTGTGCTCCACTCCTTGTCTCCTTACCACACTGAAACAAAAAAGGTTGCCCACCGAGGTGATCTGCAGGTGACGAGATGCTTAGATTTACTGTTGTTTATGAGTTGAGCTGATGTGACAAAATCCTGACTGTTTTCACTGGGCATTAAGTATCCCTAGCTACTCCTGTAGGTGAATATTTCCTTTTCCTCCATGCTGTCTTCAGAAAGTCCTTCCCAATCATCCCCACTCTCCCACTGAGGTAAGCTAGGAGATGTTTTCTGAGGAGGAATAGGGCCATATTCTGCAGGAAAATGGGAAGGCATGAACACATTTTTACGCATGATTTATGACCAAAGGAAAACGTGTAGCTTCACAAAGATAATTATTTCTATTCACAAGCACAATTATAAATTCCTGTCTCACAACAGTTAGAATTAAGCATTTACTCAACTATTTATAGGATTAGGAGCCACTGTAAAGGAGAAGTTGGTTCTCTTGTCTCCTCACTGTTTGTTATGTTTCCTATTATGACTGGCTAAAAAAGGAATTCATGCATAGATATTTCTATATTCCTGCATATTCTGAATGTATTCATATATTCTTTGGGCAATCATACCAAAGAACAAGTATTTTTGAAAGCTCAGCATGTAATTTAAAACTAACAAACATCTGCTCATCTAGACAAAAGGCAAATGTTTGCTTTTGTGAATCAAGGTTCTCTTGATTTCTATGTAGTTGCATACAAAATGGTTTCAGGGTTGAGGTTTGAATGCTTATGCTCACATTATGGAATTAGTTGTAATTGTGTGAAGAACTTCTAAACAGTTAGTGAAGGTTATGTTTGTACAAAACCTCTTATGGACGAGGAATAAACACAAAAACTGAAATTGCAGTAGAAACACAGTCTTTTAGAAAAGCAGCGGTTCCACACTCTGCTGTCTTGGTCACTGAAAAATGGACAATAGACATATACACAAATGCATAAAGAGTTGCACAGAAAACAACTCCTGCATTAGAAATCACTCCTGTAGAAGCAAGTATTCTGCACTGGATTTTTATGGCCTGTATCGTTCTTTTCATATTAAGTATTTTTTGTATTTGTTATACAAACGTAGCCTGCTTAATCTATCCTTTCTGCCACAAACACAAGTGGCTCTTTGTTTCTGTGCTTTGGAGTTAGCTATATGGCTCACAGGGAGCTAGCTGTTCCTTCTCCGTAAAGGGGAGCACTGCTCCTTGAGGAATGAAGCAAGACTGCAAGTAAGAGTATCACGTTATTTACCCTTTGATAACTGATAACAATGAATAAATTACACCATGAAATTCATATTCTCAAAAATTACTAAATCATTTGTAAATGTTGCACTCTCTTTCCTCCCTTTCAGTATTTAAGTCTAGTACTCTAGACTTATTGTCCATTCCTACTGAATTTGTAAACAAGTTGAAGAGCCGTGATCCTGGTTCTATTAGTACTCAAAAATATAATGAAGAGAAAGAATGAGTTTTGAAGAGCCTTCATTATATCAGTGTTATGCAGTAAGTCTGCCCTTACTAAGACACAACCTAAGACCTAAGACCAACCTAAGACACAACCAGAGAAAAATGAGCTCTGAAGGTAGCTTGGTCACTTGGATCACAACTTCAAATACACCATTTTTATATTGTAAATACTTATAAATACACCTAAAGGTGTGTATTTTAACACGGACCTCTAAGCAAGTCAATGTTGTTCTGCTCAACATTGCATAGCTTAATCATTTATCAGATCGATTCAAATCTCAATCAAAGTTATTACTGTGTGTGATTTTAGAGCAGCTCCATTTAGATTCCAAATACCTTAATAAATTCATTCATACATATGGAGTCCAAGCCAAATGCAAACCTAGCTTTGCTTTGTGCAGGCTGTGGAAGTTGCAACTGGAGACAAGAAGGATGGAGGTCCACTAGAGGTCTCCCAAACTAAAAAAATGCTGCCTACTTCTGTCACCTGGTAGCTCATTTGGATTTTGATGGGCTTCCAAAGTCAACAAGCGAAAAGTATAATGCAGGTAAATCACCTTTACTGAACTTCATTGTAGTCTGTATCGAGGCCTGAGTGAGCAGCAATAACCTGTCTTGAATTCTGTTTTTTTCTCATGGGCCATGTAGGAGTGTGCTGAATACATGAATACTGTCTTAAAAATTCAATTTCATCCCTTTTATGCTTTCAGAGTAGAGCACCACTATGATTTCTGGGGTCTACACCTGATTCAGATGTCTCTCTGTGCTCCAACAACACATGCTCTTACAAACATACCTGAGTATCTGTATGAAGGCTTAGTCAGGTAGGTGTGAATGTTTGCTTATTTATAACAATATATTTGATGACTCGTCTGAGGTCAGAAGCCAGATATGTTTTCTGGCTGCTTTTTAATCATATGCTAACAATTACTCAATAATGTCTTACGGCCTATCAGCATGCATTCAATTTCATTGTGATCACAACAGAAGATGGCATAAGATTCTCTATGATGGCTCTAAATAACTATTGAATTCTGAATAAATATTGAATTTGGTCTTTCTTCCTGTCTCCATCTCAATAAGCAGTGCAAGATGCACGTTTGCAATAAAAATACAGATTTTGGGTTGTATTTCCAAACATTCTTAACTCCTGCTATTAAAAAAATAGCATGTATCGCAGTTATAAAGTAGGATAGTTGTGTACAGATTCAGTAAAACTAAGGGTACTCTGTACCAAAATATACATAGGTACAAGCAGACTATTTCATACACCAGAAAAAAAAGCACTAATAGCATTGCAATATTTTTTTTTTCTGATCTTCATTCCAACATATTTCTAAGCTATTTATATATGAATATCCTAGTGGCTTTGAAACTTCTCTCCAGAGAAACGATGCTCAGCTGAAGATATTTATGAAACAGTGGTATGGTTTCACCACCAATGTTTGTAATGTACTGTAGTTAGCCTTGCCAAGACAGATTATCAAATACATACATTAAGATCAATCACATCAGTTATTTTACTGGAATATTTACATTTATAGAGCTTAGAGAATAAATAAAACAGATCTTGGGTTGCCTTGCTGTCACAGGTGTTTCCAATATACTAACAGATATTATTGATGTTAAGAACTTTGCCACATGTGTACGTTTAATTAAACTACTTACGTTATATGCCTGCCTGTAGCACTACATCTTTAATCTTTTGGTACACCATTCTAGACAGAGTTGGAGTAATGATGAGACAATTATGTACTTTAGTTCAAAAATTCAGCAAAAGAAAACCACATTGTCAGGAGCCGCCTTAGAAGAGCTTCCCTTTCCTTCCCCTAAATTGAGGTTAGAGCTTACCTGGGAAAGAAAGTCTCCTCAAGAAGATGTCATAAGCAAGTTCATATATTAGAGAAACCTAACAGAAACAGAAGAGCAACTGGGAACTGAACAGCTGACCCAACCACTCCAGAAAGATAAGGCCTAGAACAACGCACTTGTAAAACTGTCCCCCACTTAGCTCAACTTACTACATTACACTTCGTCTTATTTCTATTCTTCCCCTTTTTCACTTTTCCTCTCTTTTACCCTTCTCAATTAATTAATTATCACATCTGCTTCACTAATTGTTTAATTAAATAATTAAGTCTTGGCCTCCCAATCTTATCTCGCCACACCTGATTTAAGTACTAGTTTCCCTAATCCCCATTCTTTCCTTTGTGTCAGAGGTCATTCATAGAATGTTCATGTACTGCAAAACTACAATGAAATGGCAGTCAAAGGCAAGAAATATGTGTCAGAAATAGGATTTTATTTCAAATAAGAATAATGTAAACACACCCACTCTCATTTGCCCCAACAAATTTGACCTTTTCCCCAAACCTCTGTTATTTTAATCTCCAGTCTGTACATTTCCCAACCGAAATAATCTCTTTGCCTCTCAGGAAGGCATATTCCCCATTCCACATTGCCTGGAGTCAACTGGAGAGAATGTACGCTATCATTTCAGCCCAACCTAGGTGTGGTGTCATCTACAGGAGCACACAGAAGTTTTAATCAGGCCATCTGGAACTTTCCCAGAGAAGAGATGGAGAGCTTCCAAGGAACTGATCTGTAAAAGATAAGTTTTTACTGATCACATGAAAACTGAAATTTTCCAGGTTTCCTAAATTAGAGTAGATTTGTACAAAAATAGCAGCTGGCACTTGTATGACAAAATAGTTAGTATCGCTACCTAAAGCCTGGACTTAGTGGAAAGTGTTGAAGAAAAGGTTTAAAGCG